TAATGTTAAATATTATCATCAGGTTCCAATGTAGCTCATTCAGGACATCATCAAACATCTGCAGAGCACAATCAACTATATGTTGACTTGCTTCTTCCCTGTAATCTTCTGAACAAGGAGTGCATTCAGAGCATCCACTAGAAAGTGGCCTGTTACTGCTCTTGAATATGCCTTCACACTTAGCATATGTATGATTGTGTTGCCAGCGAAAACTAGCTCCAACAAGGTCGACAATCTACTTGACTTCAAGAAAAGAATAATATGCTTCCCAGAAAAGACATCAATGTATGGAAGCCGCCAAGTACAAAAATAACTTCAATCAGTTGATCTTCTTGGCTGATAATTAGCTTGGCCTTCATCCAATGTGGCTGATCAAACGTTACTATTGGCTGAATGTTGTATTTCATGCATGGTTGTGTACACTAATGTCGATTAAACACAGCTCATGTTAGTATGGTCTAGATCGAGCATACGAAGGAAATGAAAAGACGCCTTTTCTTGGTGACCTTCCTTGGTTGCTGCTTGCATGAAAACGGGCCAAACTGATTTAACATTGTGGGGGTGGAAAAGCTTTCAAATTAGATCAAGATGTATTTTATCATCAGTGACTATCTCTGGTAAGGATTCATACATAAGATTCTCACCACATTTGTTCAGCTTCCGAAATTGTCTCATCTCCAGACTTGACGGATAGTACTCAAATACATGAAATGTCTTGAAGAATAGTGCGGTCGATTTTTATTGCAGGGGTGTTGCTGTATGCATTAATCCCAACCCATGATTTAAGTTCTGCCATCAATTGTGATTGTGTTGTGGTCTACATTGTCCGCTATAACATAGTAGAAAGTACCTTGTAGGTTGGAAAATGTATCACTCTGATTAAATGTTTAGCGGCACAAGCATTGCTTCATCATTCAACATTCAGAACCCGTTCTCAGACAACTTGTGAATAAGATCTTTTGAACCAAATTCCCAGTGCAGATCTATAGTTAATCCAAAAAGCAATAACATAATACTTCTTGGTCTTGCAATCTGATGTTTTTCACCCAGACCATTATGTTAGGATATATATATGTATTACGTTTTTTTTTTTTTTTTTTTTTTTTTTGTTCTCATCAAGAATTTCCCAAGCATGTTTCCTAATTTTAACAACATTGGAATGATTATCAATACAAAGTGACTCGCCAAAGTGTTCTAGGAGTTTTTTCTTGATGTATGGAACGGCGACTGTCGGGATCACCACATTGCTCTCCCACAGAATCTCCCACAGAATCTACAAGTTCATTTACTGTAGAATGCTCATCGTCATTTTCCGGAAATTCATATATATAATACGTTGGAAGACCGAATCAACATTTTATCCTGCTTAAAACTTGTTTTGAAATATAAAGTTGAATTTTAATGGTATGTTTCTGCAGGTTCTAAAATTTACATCACATAATTGATGGTATATCGCATCACCTGCACTTAAATCTCGAGAAAACTTGATTCCAGAACTCTTTTTCTTAATCAGCATTATTATTTTTTTCAAAACACTTTGATGACCTATCAATTAATTGGACATGACTGTCTTGATAATACCCCAAGAATCGATGACATCACATCAAACTTTATAGCCCCAAGAGGGCAGCATGTTAAACCACAATAATGATATAATTATAAGTAATATACATCACCATGCAAACCTGGGTCTCGACAGCAGCTAATTTGCATATTTA